ATCCTTCTGAAAGGCTTGCTGAGGTCAGCCACAATTCATTTCTTTATGCTCTGTTATTCTGGACCATATTACACTAATAGAGAAGTTATATGTGATAAATTTGTTTTTAAGTCATTACTTACTTAAATACCTCACTTTACTTTTAAGAGAAAGCTATATATCAATGTATGTGTGATATACCTAACCCCTTATTTGATATTGACCATATGGCTTTTATCAAAGATAAGCTAAGCGTTCTCTGATGTATGTGTAACTGAACTAGAGTAAGTGAATTCATATCTATATGGGTTTGTCCATTTTCAGTAGGAATAAAAAGGAAATGTGTCCTTTTCATGTGTTCCAAATTTCATGTGTCTTCTCACTTGAGAATGCTGAATGCTTCCTGGTCAATTCAAGAGGACGTTTGCTATATCATTAATGGAATGTTTAGGCCAGGTTTTGGTAATAATTTATATTTTAATAGACTATTATTCTTTAAAGTTTGTATTTTAATACTTATTAGAATTTAAAGTATTTTAATACTTTAATATTTTAGTTGGAATTAAAATTTGTATTTTAATTTTGGATACTTTAGTGGATATACAGACCATGGCAATAAAAATTAACTCAGATTTTTCCATTGTATTTCTGTGGATAAACAGTGTTTTATTTTTCCCCTGCCTCAGAGAAATAATATAAATCAAGTTGGTGGTCACCCTTAACAATAGGTAAAGTTCTCTCTTTTCAAATTAACACAGAGAAGTGGTCACTATTATATTGAAATTAGAGTCAGATTCTTTCTTTTTCCAGACCTCCACGATACTGATTATAGCATTTTGATTCTAGGCTGTTTTTGATTTTGCTTCATGGCTATTTCTTTCCAGTATAATACTGCCATACTCCTAAGCAACAGCCTAGTTAGCAATTCATTTGTCGGGGTAAAATAATATTATAATGATTAAAGACTGCAAAACTATGGCTGAAAATTTAAAGAGAAAATTTAAATTTCTCTTTAACATTTAAAGAGAAAATCATTTTAGTCTTTCTGTTTAGATTTATTCCCAGATGACCATTTGGGGTGTTTGATACTCTAAATTACCTGTGATAACCATATTCTTTGAAGAAAAAAAACTTTGAACTTATTTGTTAGAATTTGTTTTGGCAATTTACAGAGATACAGAAAGACAGAGAATGAATCAAAGGACATGTAGCCACAATATAATTACTATTAATAATTCCCCATCTCCTAGAAAGTCAGCATTGTAGTGAACCTAAAGATGTTCTTGATAGTTATATATACAATGAGAATTCTTTTCAGCTACTTGTGATAGCTGTGAGAACATTTTTTATTTTTATTTTTTTCCATTTATTTTTATTAGTTGGAGGCGAATTACCTTACAACATTGCAGCGGTTTTTGTCAAGAACATTGTTTAAAGGAGATATGTAATTTTAGTTGTTTGCTTTATTGGTTACTCACCTATCACTTCTAATTTTTCATGTAAAAGGCTAATCTATGAAATTGTTATTCATAGCTATTATAAGATATTATAAGAGTGGATAGAGTAAGTTGGTCTTCCCCATAAAATACTTAAACATTTTGGCAGTGGTAGATTTACCTTCTTGAATTTAACTTCCTCATATTTCTTGGGCAATCAATCTATGTTGAGAATAGGGGAAAGATAATAGTTATCTATGTTTCTGTGCTTTGAAATAATTTATGGTAAGTAGACAAGCATCTTGATGTTAACTAGTCTGAGGATGGTGTTAGGCTAGTGTGTGTGTATTAAGAGCAATAATAGAATTAAGTTCCTATATCAACATGTGATAAATAAAACATTTTAGACCAAATGAAAAAAATTGATTTTCTGAATATAACCATTCTGTGAAGGTGTGGTTTGAAACTGGGTCTCCACTAGGTAACAGTTAACATGTATTTTTGAAAGCAGTGATACATTATCATAATGTAGTCCAGTCGAATAGAAGCCCCTTAATGGTGGTGAATTTGTCCTGTTCACTTCTATTTTTCAGTGACTAATAGCCATATGATACATATATATTGAATATAAACAAAATAAAATATATTTAAATAAATGAAGGATTTATAATTTTGAAATTATGCTTACTGTTATGTAATTTTGCTTAACTTTTTAATCTAATTAGAATAAAATTTAAGTACTGTGATAAGTATTAAAGGACTGATCTATGTATCATAAATCTATTTCATTTCTTGCTAAGCAAAATGGTCACATATGACTGGTCATATGTCACATATTGTTACATGGCTTTGTTGATAGTTGCACATTTTACACCACATTGTTTGTATGCAGTTTTGTATTCAACTAGGCATTCTTGTTTTCCAAAAATTGGGATGTATTTTGTAGTGTAATTTATAAATTATTATTTTTTTAAAAAAATGTTTTCCTTTATGCCAAGTGAGGGGGCCATTTGGCATCCACAGAGATATAAACTTTGGAGTTTTATGTATTATAGGCAAAGTTTTCATTTGTATTCATATGGTATCACCAAATTCTAAGTTAAATACGTTGGGTACTCTGTGCAGTGCTTAGTTAATTTTATGTGAATTTTAGGAGGTAACATAGGGAGTATGAAATGCCATTCTGTTGTTGAAGCAAATGTCTTTTTTTTCCCCCTCACTGGAAATTTAGATTAAAATTTGAGCAAGGAAATAGGATCATGATTTGCTTTGAGCATCTGTATTTATTCAGCTGTAACAGAAATACTTAATTTCTGTGCTCACTGTAAGGTATCTATTCAGAATACGTATTTACTGCAGTTTCTCTAAGAAAAATGTAGCTTGAAATGGATTCTCAGCTTCCCCATATGTTTGTTATAGTTCTTCATGCAAATAGACATATACAAGGTACCTAAGCAAGTTCTTGCTGACCTATACAATACCTGCATCCTATCAGGTCATATTTCAGCTCCTATATTTTTGATAAATAGCCTGGCTCTTAAAAAGCTCTGTCCATGGTGCTGAAACCTCTTGTGATGTATGAGCATGTCTTGCTGATAAATTCTAATGTCAGCCTCTCTGTGATAGTGATTCATCAGGTTGTAAAATTTGTGTTTGGGTAACACACTGAATTTGTAAGTTTCATATTTTGTTTGTGGTAAAATTAACACAGTTTGTCCTTTTGTGTTAAAGAATTCATAACAATTACTATCAAGCATTGCATTAACAGCTTGGATTTAATTAGATACTGTTAGTGCTATCACAAAAGCAAATGTCTAGTATTAACAAATAAATTGATATGACTTCAGTGCTAGAAATGTTTACAGGCCAGTGACATGTTGGTAATAGGAAGGAAGTTTCTATAAGAACAGTTAAACAATTGATTATGAACAGTTAAAGTAGCAATTAACAAGGAAGCCTTGTAGAGATAAGAAAATTGCATGTAGAAAGTAAGGCTTATTACTGTTGGTGGTTTTTTTTTTAAATAGTTTCAGGATGTTTTATTTGTACATAGATACATTTTTGGGGGGTAGAACTATGGATTTTTGTTTGTAAATATGACTAAAACTTTAAAAAATCTTGGTAGTTTTTTCCAGGTAAAACTCTTGTATTTTTTGTATAAGATTATAAATTACAAATATTACTATTTCAATGATTCTTGATTTTTTAAGCTGCATTCCTTTAGGTGCCTTAAATATAGCCATAGAGAAGTGCACTTTTTTATTTGTTTGTTTTATTCTAAATTAGTCGCAGAATCTTTTCATTAGTAAAACAGTCCTCTAAAATTTCTGTTTAACCCTGGAACTTCTTCTACTATCAATTCTGTATATCTTAAGATAAAATTTAAAAACTCCAGTCTCAGAAAAATTGTAGTCTCCTAAAATTCTAAAATCTATTGTTTTCCTGGGATAAAGAACCATCCACTTTGATCATAACTATCTTTAAGTCCATACCAACTGGATAAGTTGCTACACAATTATATAAACCTGCTTCTTTGGGGGCCATATAGAATATATTGTTTTCTTACTGTATTTGCAATATAGAAGAGTATTAGATTATTTGCTTGTTATTGCAGTGAAGCTCATTAACTGTTTACAATCACAACAAGATTTGAAAATTACACCTAGGTAAGTCCTAGTGAGATTTGGTGATATTTTCTACAAAGCAAGCAGCCTAATATTGAATTACTGCCAATTATTAAAATAAGACTTTCAGTTCCTTAAATATTGGGTTTATATTACGTGGACCTAATAATTAAATCCAGTCCAAAAGCTTCTTGTTAAGAAAATCTTCAAGTGAATACATAATTTCCTAGAGGATTTGTATTTATCAATAAGGGGTTAAATACAATATTATTATTGCTGTGCAATATTGATAAAGTGCCTTCCAAGATCCATTTTTGTGCATTATAAATATGTAGTTACATCACCCAGTAAAAGTCTAACTCTTAGCCTTCCAAATTTCACTATAGAAAAACACTTTTGAAAACACTGTCACTTAAATATCTGGTCGGATGATATTTCCCAGAAATTATTCTTTATTTAGAAACAAAAACAAGACAAAAGCAACTGATTTTAATCCAAAATGTATTTTTCCTTATAAAAGAGGTCCACATATTCACTGCGTCTACTCTACAGAATTTGTCCATTTTATTACACCACGTGTCAATTCAAGTTTATCGGGTCACTGCAAAAACTCGTGGCTAATATGTGTAATACAACACAGGAGGAGGTATTGCTCAGTTCAACTACTCTTATATACTTAAAAAAAATACAGAAATGTTTTTGTCCACTTTAACTGTAGTCCAGACAGAAAAGTTACATGAAAGGTCTAGAAAACGGATTTATTTGATTTGGTTGCCACAGTACCCTTTGAAGCCAGTTAATTAAAATGCTGAACTTGCACATATGTCCATTGGTCAGGAGCAGCACTGGTGAAGCTTAAACTTCTTTCTACAAAGTAATATTTCTCTGCCTTTTTTTTTTTTTTTTTGAAGTACAACCACAGTTTTGAGTTTTTCTTTGCAGTAAATTGAGTTGGTTGTTTTTAGGACATGTTAGTTGGCACGCCTATAGCAGTTGCTTTTACTTCCAGTGCTGAACCTTTTTCTTTGCCTGTTTCCCAGAGGTTGATCAGAGGAGGATAAAGCTCGCTGAATGCAAAAGTTGGTTTCTGTAAGTAATTCCTTACATAGTTATGCCCACCATCACAGTTGACTTCTTGAGAGAGGAAGCTGAAAAGACATATCACACCAATAATCCCCAGAGAGCCTCCAAGGCAAGCCATAAATGTTGTGGTGTTATTCTTTTCATACTCTTTTTGATCAGGGTCCAAACCTTTTGTGGTGACATTTACACATTGTTTTCTGCTTTTTTGATAGATGGTGGGGATATCAATACAAATCTTATACTCAGTTGCTGGGTTCAGATGAGTAAGATTATACACCTTGACATCAGATGGTATTCGTGCACTTTGGGCAGCATGGGAATTCTCAGCCTTGACAAAGGCTGTCCACTTAATACTGGATTTGAGAATTTTAGAACTTGCTTTCCAAGACACCAGAACTGAATTAGCTTGAACATCTTTTATTTTAATATTCAAGGACCCATTGTTATCCTGGGGAAGAGAGCCATCCACTTTGATCATAACAGACTTCAAGTCAGCACCCACCAGGTTAGTAGCTATGCAGGTATATATACCCCCTTCTGCTAGGGTGATGCCACTTATGTCAAGTGTGCCTTCAGAATGGACATAGAACTTGTCTGTTAGAGTATTCGGCAAGAGTTTTTTACCAGAAGGTGTTATCCAGTAGATTTCAGGCTGCGGCTCTGCGGTAGCTCTACAGTGTAAGGAAACATAACTCCCAGCTTCTAAATCCAGGTTGGAAGGAAAACTCTCAGGAGCTATAAGAGGGAGACAGATTTCCATCATTTCCCTAAAATGCACCTGCCGCACATTCTGGCCTTGGAATTCGGGCGGGTCCACACAAAACAGTGACTCTGGCTCCATAAATCGAATGTTGGTTTTGTTCATATTAATCCAGCGGATGACACAGTCACATCTGATCGGATTGCTGTGTATGCTGACTTCCTTGAGGTTTGGCAGAGACTCAACCGTACCCTGGTACAGGGCGCTAAGGGCGTTGCTGTTGAGCATGAGGGATTCCAGCTTGGGAAGCCGGAAAAATGCATTTGGGTGAATGTAAGACAACCTGGGGTTGTTAGTAGCTTCTATTTTTCTTAAATCTGGTAAGTTATCCACAGCAAGACTGTCGATGGAAATCAGCTCAGGCATATTGTTTATTCCCAACTCTTTTAAGTGTAGCATATTGCTAAAATCTCCCCTCTGTATTCTGTTAATGGGATTTTTATTTAGATCCAAAAATTTGAGGTTAACTGCTTTTTGAAGAGCAACATTGGGCACTTTAATAAGCCTGTTGTCATAAAAAGAAATGCTTTCTAAGTTTTCAAGTCCAACCAAGGCGTTATCTGGTATTTCTGTGAGGTTTATACCAGCTATAACCAGGCTTCGAAGATTGATAAGAGGCTTAAAGTTCATATCTTTGATTCTGATGATTGGATTTTCCCCAATCATCAGAATCTCCAGATTGGGAAGAGCCTCAAACCACTTACTATTGATCATCTGCAATCTGTTTGAATTGAGATGAAGTCGAAGAAGATTATGTAGGCCAATAAAGGCTCCTGGTGAAATTGTAGAAAGCAAGTTGTGATTAATATAGAGTTCTTGTAAGTTGCTTAGTCCAGACAGACATTTTTCAGGCAGCTCAGTAAGTTTGTTTTCTTCTAGGTATACAGAAAGAAGCTGAGACATCTTTTTTACATTAATGTTGGTGACTGAAGATAAATTGTTTTGAGATAAGTCCAGGCCAGTAAGGTTTACTGGGAAGTCTATGGAATATTCGATTTTTGCAATATTGTTAGTCTGTAGTAGCAGAATCTGTGTGTCAGCGGGCAGTCTGGCTGGGAAATTTGAAAGACCTAAATCATTACAATCCACTGTAGATGCCTCCATATAAATGGATCGAGGTGTAAACCAGGGCCGGATTTCACATGTACATAACTGTGGGCAGTCTGCTTTTTTATCTACAGCTTGTACTAGGGTAGTGATAACTAGGCCCAGTAGCACATGAATTTGGAGTGGCAGGTCCTTCATCTTAGCTTTCTTCTTCAGGAGTTTAATGGGCCCTTAGGATTCCACGGTCACTGCTAGTAGGGTCAGTAAGAGCTGACTGATAAAAAAAATAGTTGCTTTTGTCAAATGATGAATGCCAGAGAACGGCAAAGATTTTCTTCATGGAAATAAGTGCCAGTGCCGCAGCTGCATTGTCCAGAAATGCCATGCATATTGGAGAAGAGGCTTCTGTCTCCTTTATGACAGAACATGGATTTAACTTTTGAAGATGGAGTATGTATAGATGGTCACAGGAAATTAGGCAATTCATTTATTTAGGAGTATAATATTCACATCCCATGCTTCTTCAGTACTTGCAGGAATAGCAGCATGATGCTAACTATAATAAAGAAAAATATAAAAGAAAAAAGAAAAATAATTAGTCGAAAGAAAAAAATACAATACCCATTAACTAATTATGATTCTTACATATAATAGTCTTACTTTACAGTTAGTTCAATATGTTTTGATGACTTTATTTCCTGTTATGACTGTCCTTAGTAGTAATTGGCCCAGACATTGGACAGGCTGAGAAACTGTATCTTTAGAAGACTTAAGTTATATTAAACATAAAGAATTTTTCTCTGTTTTTCAAATCTTTGCTTGTTTGATTGTTTGTTATTACAAGCTATTATTTGTTGTTCTATTTGACAATTACATTGGGGGGGAGGACAAAACCTTTCAGTGATGACTTTTTTATTTTCTCTTAGAGAGGCAAAATTAAAAGGTTATAAATAAACAATAAATAAATAATGCTGTTCAGTTAAAAATCAAATGAGTTAGACTGTGATTCCTCAGGTTTCCAGGAGAAGACATTTGGAAACAAAATTATAAAATGATGTAGAAATTGTGGTATTTAGCTGAATTTTCCATTTTCATTCATACTTCTTTCCAAAGTCTCCTTTGTATAAAGTGACTTGTATTTTGTAGTCTTTGGAAAAGATTGTCTAACTTGCTGTAGATGCACTTGTATATTGTCACGCTTAGCTGAAATTCAGATTAATGTTAGACCGTTTTATTATCCCCTGAAAATAACTTACATTCCATTAGTTACAGCAATTAAAAAGTCACTTTATCACATCAGTAAAACAGACACTTAGCTATACCTTCTTTTAAAGGGTTACTGATGTCTTTGTTGTAATAATAAGCAACTATAAAATCAAGTTGCAATTTTGATATGTGCTGTATTATAAAATACCCCACAACTTTCAGATGTTCACTCCACCTGTTAGACTGCTGGTGAGTTCTCCCTACAAATGTACAGGACAGCTGGAGCACGGCTGCCCTGTTCATTCTGAGATTGTGCCTACCAGGAGTAACTCTGCTGAATAATCAGTCTGTGAATACTGTTCTTTCATCTCTGCCCAGTATTGACATTCATAATGGTGTTGCTGACTGATGCTAAAGCTAATATGGGTATTTCAGTGACAGAGATAAATATATTTGGAGATATAGCTTCCACAGAGAGATAAACCTTTTTTTTTTATTTAATTAAAAAAATTCCTTGGTTTTAAAACTTGTGAAAAATTTACAGCTCGAAGTCACATCTTATCCTCTTATAAACTAAGACATTTGATAAAATTGGATCATGAAGTTCAGATAACTACTAAGTTATCCTGAATTAAGTGTCTTTTTTTAAAATTACTTCACCTATTTAATGATCAGATTTCCTTTTTTTATAAAATACTCCTTATATATTATTACTCTTAATCTGTTTTAAGTAAGCTCTAAGCCCCTTGAAAGAATTTAATACAACTGCTTCTTCCCTGAAGATGCCTTATAAATCCTTAGACTTCCATGATCTGGGGTCCCTCCTGTTTTTCTCTGTATTTCTTGTCATCTTCTGCCATTCTCCTGCATGCAGCCTTCTCTCTGCCTGTAGAACTATAGATGCCTCAAATTCTTCTCTCTGCCTGGATTGGCTGTTTCTTTGTTTTAAGTTAATTCTTGCTGTTTATCAATCTTCAGTTCAAGCATCACCTCTCTAGGAAGCCTTCCATATAACTCCTCCCCACCAAGTTGTACTTAGCTTCCTGCTAGTGCAGGGTGGTTCCAAGGCCCCAGCACACATCTCTGTTAGAATTTTTAGTTGATTTTCTCCCTCATCAGACATTCACTTCCTTGCAAGCCTGAGATCTGCCTGATTTTGCAACCCCAGCTCCTGGGCATGGTAATTAGAACACAGTAGATGCTCAAGAAAGGTTTTCAGTGAACTGATAAATGAATTACATTAATAAATATATATATTCATCTTTTGATATACAATTTAAGCAGCTTGGTTTAATTTCCTAATTTCAAATCTAGCTGGTTTAGTGCACATAAATCTACTATACAGAATATGTGTTAACTTTATTGCTAAAATTCAAGCTTTATATTTGAGTGTACACAAAAGAGCTAGATTTTAAAGAAAAGTCATCTAATATTATATGTTAATTTATTCCTTAATTAATTCAGTCAAAATTTAATGAACACCTATTATGTGTCAGTTTGGGTTCATAGTCAGAGGATAGAAGGATGACTTAGATATGATTTCTTCCCTTCATAAGTTTTCAGTATTTCAAGGGTGACACAAGTAAATAGGGAGAGGTACCAGGATAGAATTTGAAATAGAAAGCTATTGCATCTCTATTTTCAAAATGAAGAAAAAGCCTAGGTACAAAGTATAAAAGATATTTCAGTGTGTTGCCACAAATGTTAATAACTCAGTTGTGAACTGAGCAATCATACTTTCAGCCAATTAATCAGTTAGATTCAGTTTCTCTATCAAAGAGAAACCTATATTCTCCTTTATGTTAACTAGAGGATTAGAAATGTTCAAGGTAAAACATTCTTTTGGGGGGGCGGATCTTAACCTAATGCCATTTTTTGTTTTAAAATTCTTGTGTTTTCTTAAATTTATATGTATCTTTAATTAGAAACTCTTTCCTGACCTCATTTTATCATTTTGCCATAGTCACATGCCAAAAACAACCAAATCTGAACATTTCTTTTGAAATACATTTATTCTGAACTACATTTGTTCTGTAAGCTTTTGAAAATAAGGAGAGTTCTGAAAGTAGCGAACACATTTGAGTTTTATTTTTCCAGGTCTGTAGGAAGAAATTGTCAGTATGGGAAGTACAACAGAGGATATGTAAATTTTGCCTTTATTGTAATATTGATTTTTTTTTCATGTCTTTGGAAATGATGATGATACTTTCACTAATGGATTATTTGGCATGGATTGTTTGCAGGAGAGTAAGGCAGTAATAACATCTTACATATTAGTGCTTTGCAATTTTCAAAGACCTTTGATATCCACTGTTTATTTTATGTTAATAATGACTTTGGAACAGATTGCAGAGGGATTTTAACCACTGTTTTTGTTTTTGCTTTTGTTTGACAAGGCTATTGACAATCTATCTGCCTGGAATCACACAGCTAATAATTGATGAGGTGGAATTAGAATCCAGGCTTTATCTTTAGGCCTGCAGCTCTTTCTAGTAAGGCATGTTGCCTACACATGTAAACATGTGATGAAATCACATTGACAAAGGTAGTGCAGTGATTTATTTCTTACGATGGGCTGCTATTACCTTTGTCTTCAGCTTTTCAAATTTAGAATATGAATATTATCAGTCTACTAATAGTGAGCAGGGTGTGATTCACACTAAACAGACTCACAAGGGACAAGACCCAAATCCCAACACATTATAGTGAGGAATATGACTATCAAGAGTACAAATGTTAATACCTGAATCTGCCAGTCAATGCTTTTGCTTCATTTAAAAAATATACTTGGCAATACAAATTATGAACCTGCAGTTTGTGAATATAGAGTCAGGGCAGGGAATTTAGGTTAGACTTCTTATTATTGTCATCAGATATGGTAGTGTGACATGCTTGCTTTTGTAAAGAGCATATATCATCACAGGAAACTGAACCTCTTGAGCCTCATGGCCTTTAGCATGGCCTCAGCCCCCAAAAGCTTATTGTGGGAAACTTTTTCCAGAGTTTTTCTTGGTCATTTCTCATCTGTGTCATGATAATTATTTGTTTACACTTCTTTTCCCCCTTACTTGCCATAAAATTATTAGACAATAGATTATTGCTAGACATTAGATTATTAGACTATTTCCTTACTAGGCATAAGATTATTAGATTGTTACTTTCTAAATTATGAGGTCATTATTACTATTGTTGGAAACTGTGCTCAGCTTCCTTTTGATTTGATTATATTAGGGTATTTGATTGGTTGATTAGCACCTAGGCCAGTATGTAGGTCATTAAATAAATGTTTGCTACATGATCATTCACAATTGTCTTTCTATAACTTGTGTTAGATGATATAGCATATGGACTAGTGATTAAAATGACTTTTTGTCCTTAAGTAACTTACAACATCAAAAACAGTGGTTAAAATCCCTCTGTAATCTGTTTCAAGGTCATCGCCTGAAATGCAGGAGACCCCAGTTTGATTCCTGGATCAGGAAGATCTGCTGGAGAAAGGATAGGCTACCCACTCCAGCATACTTAGGCTTCCCTTGTGGCTCAGCTGGTAGAGAATCCTCCCGCAATGCGGGAGATCTGCGTTCGATCCCTGAGTTGGGAAGATCCCCTGGAGAAGGAAAAGGCTACCCACTCCAGTATTTTGGCCTGGAGAATTCCATGGACTCAATAGTCCATGGGGTTGCAAAGAGTTGAACATGACAGAGCAACTTTCACTTTCAACTTACAATTAGCAACATAGAAAAAAAAAATAAAGAGGAAAAGATATGCCCCCAAATTTTTATAGAATTTTTTGTTTGACAGTTAGAAAGTAGAAATATCACAGTTATACTGCAAAATTTCCATTGGGAAAACAGAAAATGGTTCACTTTACTAGCACCAATTTTAAGGTCTTTAGGTACACCTTAGCTTTATCAGTGAGAAAATGGTGTTTGTTGGTGGCAATTTTGAGACTTGGGCTAGATAGCAATTATATTGGTGACATTGCTTTTATA